CACTCCCCACATCATTCAATATGGTAAGATTTTTTGTTCTGATGATGCCTTACACCTGATCCCTTCGACACCTCGTGGTTGCATAGGCTGGTGTGCTTCTTCCATGGAGACCGTCACGCTTTTAAAAACAGTTTTATTAGCATAAAATTCACATACCATACAATTCATTGGTTTAAATATGGTAAAAGGAGTTGTACAGTCATCACCACAACCAGTTTTTGAACTTTTTCTTCATTTTTATACTTACTTTTATTAGCTCTCTGCTTCCCCCCAGACTGTAACTTCTTACTGGAGTAGAAAGCCTCCTCTTTCTCCCTCGGAGCAGCTGGTGGTTGTGAACTGCTGGCCTTATGATTAGCAGCCCAACACATAACCCACTATGCCACTAGGGTTCCTTGGTACCACATAGGTTCACTTTCATAATAAAAGTGCTAAGTTGAGTGCTTACTGAGTAGCATTTAATACAAACATTATCTCACTGGAATTTCATAGTAATCCTGTAAGGTGGATACTGTAGCCACCATTCTATAGATGGTAAACGTGTGTTCAGGGAGATTAAGCAGCGACCTATGCTCACAGGCCTTTTTACAAGATAGTGCTCAACTCTAAGAAGACTGTTGAGTCTCAATTGCTTGTCATCTGAGAGATGGGGAGGAGTGATGTGTGTCCTGCTATGCTTAATGAAGACATTGGCTGGACTGGTCGGGCTGGCTGGCCTTTCAGGTCCCGTGGAACCTTTTGTTACAAGGGTCACATGGGCCTGGAACCCGAGTCTTCATTCTGGGCAGCCTCCTTGTACTCCTCAGACTTAGCTGCTCGTTCTGGATTACTCCTCTCATTACACCCGCCTCCTGTTAAACACTCGCTGAGACCGTCAGATTGGCTGCAGATGCCTTCCCAGCTTACCTCTTCCTCAGGACCTCAGGTCTCTGTAGAGATAACACCTTGGTGGACCCATCCCTGACCACCCGTTTAAAATGACGACGGCAACAACTCTTTGTGACCCGAGTGGAGGTTTACAGAGCACATCTTCCATTCAGAGTTCATGCACGTTTTGTTTCATCTCGTTGATTACGTGTACCATCACGTATCCCACTTCTTGCTGCAATCCGTCTCC